TGTGGTTTGTGTGATCTGTATTATTTTTTAAAAATATCTTGCCTCTTTAGTTAGCGCTGACACACTGTGGATCTGCAGGTGGTCTGACAGATCTTGACAACTCCTAACACTTCACTTGCTCAGCTTCACTTCATCACTTTCCTGTGCACCAGCTACTCTTAATGGTGTTACAACCCTGGTAGACTGCAGTTATCATCAGTAATTACCTTGCAAGCCATAATTCCCACTGATGCAACCTGTGCTTCCTGCTGCTCCATGCCATTGCTCAGTCAGCACAGCACGAGGAGGCTCTATTCTCCTATTACTCAAACAGGTTATGCAAACGCTCATTTTACTTCTGAGGGAAGAGAAACTGAAGAGTGCTGCCAGTTATTGGTGTCTCAGCTTCACTTGGAGCTGTTTGGATGCTCTGGGAAGCATGCATTCCTTGGAGGTTAAGAAGCTCCCACTCCTTCCTGCTGCCTGTTATGCTGCAGCTGAGATGTAGCAGCTGAAGTGGGCTCAGTGTGCTTGGATGGACAGCCATGCTCCATTGGTTATGTGATGTGTGTCTGGAGCAGGCTGAGGAATAACAAGCCTGGTAGTCAGTTCTGATGCTTGATGGAGCGCAAAACTGTTTAACCTGCTGCAGTGCAGCTGCCCAGGCATGGGTCTGCCACAGCTTTGCTCCCACATGGCTGCTCCTGAACCTTGGCTGCTCCACAGGGTCATTGCTTGAGTTAATGCGTCTCAAGAAATGCTTACCTGCTCCTACAAACCATTCTTCTTACTGCACAGTACAACGCTAATTCTTTTGCTAACCTGTGTGATCACTCTTACAGGGAGGCTTTGCCTTGATTTAGCAGCTCTGCATCTCCAAGGTCAGGCTCCTGGCTGAGCAGACAGCCAGTCTGCAATCTTCCCATCAGTGTGGCTCTTCTGCAGAGGTGATAACCATTCAGGTTTCCCATCTGTGTTTTGCAGAGCCTGGCACTCATGTCCTGCACGCTGCTGTGCAGCTGGTGAATGGCTGAAGGCAGCTGGAAGGCTCTCCTCCATGCAGGAAACTTGCCTTTCTCATCAGAACGTTCTGGAAGGTGTGCACCTGTGTGTGTACCTTAAAGAACTGGAATTTATTTATGTCAATGGGAAGCTCAGCGGAGGCCACGTAGCCAAAAAATACTTCTCTCCAGCTGAGTATGCACACAACGTGGAACATGTAAAATACAGGCTTCTCATGTGCTGAAAAACGCAAATGCATCCCTGCTGTGGTCTGGATGATGATGTAACATTTTGGATTGCTAGTTGTCAAATGCAGGATTAAATTTGAAGCTCAAACTGTGCTTCACCACGTATTCCATCCAACAGTGTTCCTGGGGGGTCTGAGGAGTTGAAAATTGTTTTGTTTCAGAGGAAGGCTTGCTGTTAGCTCAGTCACACACCTGCAATTGCAGCAGAGCCACTGCTGTCAGTTTTCATCAGCAGTGCTTGAAGAAGATGCAGGCAGGGCTGTGGAGGTGAGCGCTTTGCTGTCATGCTGTTTGAGTTCTATTTATTTATTTTTCAGTTGAATTTGGACAAGTGAGCTATTTGTGAGAGTCTCAGGGCTGATAGCTCTGGCTTTTATCTGTTGGGCACCAGAGGGAAGATGCTGCTCAAAAAGCTTTGCTTCCAGGAATTCAAGCTCATTTCTGACACACAGTACTTTACTTTCTTTGTAGCGTGCAGGTGGGCATTCCTCTAAATGCCCCATCTGAAATGTGTAATTGTGTTCACTTTTGTGCCAGAGAAAAGTGTAGAGCAGCCTGAGTGCTGTTGCAGCCCAAGTGTAGCTGTGGGCACTGTGAACTGTTTTCAGACAGAAGGAAGCTAGAAACAATTGCTTGCTCTTGAGGGTGTGCTCAGAGGCCTTTGCAGGAGATGCAACTGGGCATCTTCTATAGAAATGTGGCCAGCACTCCATTAAGATGCAGGTTACCTTAAGATCTGAACTCATCATTCTGAAGCCTGGGGCACCCCTGCTGATGCTAGCTGTGAGGATGGAGCCAGGGAAGGATGTTGAAAGCCTTTTGAAAACCTTGGGGGAAGAGGTTTCAAGTTCCCACCCCGTGTTCTACTGTGCCCTGTGTATGCTGGCTTTACAGTCAAGTCTGAGTGTGTGTCCCAGCCTGGGTGCATCTCTTGTGGCCTGGAGAAGGGGACATACAGGACAGGCTCGTCCTCAGCAGGCTGTGAGAAAGAAGGCAGTGTGGAGGTGTCAGACAAGAGACGTGGGCTGCTCGTCCCTGCAGCCTCGCTGTCCCCTTCGCACTTCAGACCTGACACAGAGAGCTGCAGTGAGGAATCAGAGGGGCTGGAGCGCTCCTGTTCCTATTTGGAGGTGTTATAATTGTATTGAAAAGAGGTTGGGGTTTCGCCTGAGAAGTAGCTGAACTCCTACACACGGCTCTCTTGTTCTCCCTCCTCAAATGAAGAAGGGGAGAAAATACTGAACAGGACTTAAGGGCTGAGATGAGGACAGGAACGTCCCTCCTGCAGACGCTCTCCTTTCTGAATGGATCCTGTGTGCGCATCCCATAGGTTGCAGCTCTCCACACCCTGCTCCAACATGGACCCTACCATGGGGCCCATCCTTCAGGAGCAACTCTGGTGCAGGGCCCAACAGGTGGCAGCTCCCCTAGGCCTCCTGCTCCCTGCAGCTCTTCCCCATGGGCTGCAGCTCCAGATGGGCCCTGCTCCTGTGGGGCCCCGTGGGCTGTACCTCCTTCAGTCCATGTCCACTGCTGTACCATGGGCTCCTATGTGGCTGCACGTGGAGATCTGCTCTGTGCAGCGCCCGTGGGCTGCAGAGGCACAGCCTGCACCACCACAAGCCTTCCCTAGGCTGCAGAGAACTTCTGCTCTGTGTCTGGAGCACCTCCTCCCTGCTCACAGAGGCTACCTTGCAGCCCTCCACTACCCAACCCCTGCCATGGAAACCCAGTGCAATTACTGAAGCGCAGAGCTGTGTTTGCAGCACTCCTGTGAGTCTGGCTCCAAGCTGTTTTGCACACTGCTTATTTCAGTGTTGCTGCACCCCCGTGGCTTAGATGCCTCAGTGAAGATCATTGCATGGTAAAGGTTGGCAGCAGTGTAACAGAAGCAGATTCTCTTGCTTTGAGTCAGATCAGTTACAGCTGCTCAGTCCAACCCTGAAATCAGCTCTTGAATCTTTGACCTTGAAGTAATAAAATCTAAAAGGAAACCCTGTGATTTCCTGGTTTCTCTTTACAAGCTGAGGGCCCTGCAGTATGGAATCCATGTAACGGTTTGTTGTGTAGCTCCAAGCGATGCTCTTGGTTATGAGCCAGGGCTGAGCTGCCTCTCCTGAGTGCTGCTTCTTGTTCCCATTGATTTTTTTTTTCACGTTGCATCTACCAACATGGGGCCAAACTTGGGTCGGGATCATACCAGGAATCTCCTTTCTGAAACCCTGGGTCAGAAGATAGGGTGTGCAGCAGTGCAGGTGTCAGTGGGCCTGATTGCTGGAGCACCGTGGAAGCCACGACTGTGAGTGGCTATCCAGAGTGAGGAGTCAAGTTTGTAAACAGCAGATCCAGGAGCACTTTTCAAAGCAGTGATCCAGATGAAGCCACCAGTTCTGAAAGCCCCATCCTGCTTGCAGCAGGAGGTGCAGGGCTTGTCTCTGTGAGGCTGTGTGCTGTTTGCACACAGAGCACATCTGACATCAGAGCGCATGGCTCCCTGGCACTGCCATGCTGATGCAAAACAGCCCTTCCTGGGGAGTTACGTGAGAAATGGGTGTATTTCTTTAACATGTTTCAGTGCCACAGCAGCCCTCCCTCTGCTCGTGTTAATGGGGGAAGAGGAAGCAGCAGGCAGTTTCAGCAGAATGCAGCACTTGGCTTTGTGTGCTCTGAGCTGTTTGAGATGTTCAAGGTGTGAGGTTTGTGCTCCCAAGTTAGAGGCAGCCTGCCTTGGCCCTGGGGCAGGATCCTGTGCACAGAGGTGCATCCTGGCAGCTCCCCAGCTGGTGTTGGCTTTCAGTGTGCCTGCACGTACCCCAGGGGACACTTTTCAAGGGGAACAAGCAGCTGAGAGCGATCTTCTGGGAGTCACTGATGATGGTGTGCTGCCTGCCTTGGGGAGAGATGTGGGGAAGTGTCTCCTTCTCTAGGCATGGGGGACCACTGCTTTGCCACCTGGGAGCTCATTTCAGCTTTCCATTGTTAATCTCCTGCCTCACTGTGCAGTGGCTGAAGCGTCATTAAAATCAGCAGGTTTTTATTTTGGTAACAGACTGTTTCCTAGGGGAATGTGACATTTCTGTTTCATCTCTGGGTGCAGCTCTTGGCTCTTCTTCACGCTACTGTGTTCAATGCCAAGGTCCCACTGAACTGGCACCTTTGTAGCAGAAGCCCAGAGCTTGTTTATGGAGAACTGCAGAGAATAATGCATAACTTAATGCATGTAATAATGTGTAATATTAATAACATGTATGATAATGCATAATAGTGCAGTAATTTAAATATACCTGCGTGTATTTGTTGCAAGTGACCTTGGAAAATAAGACAGCCTTTGGCATCAATCCCAGGCCATCAGAAGGTGGGTATGTAAGGGGAGGGTGTTCCTACAGGACAGCACTGGCCTGTGTCTCAGGCAGACGTGTCTGCAGGCATGTGAGCAAGCATGCTATACCATAAATCTCCGCTTCCTTTCAAGTGTGGCCATCCTTACTGTTGGAACTGTCAGCTCCTTCTTCCTCTGTCTCCTATGTGAAGGTACCTTGCATTTCCACTGCATGCATTTGATTGCTTGCAGATATATATGGGATGGGGACCTTGGACTAAATTGTCTTACTGATGGAGGACTTCAGTCCAGATTTGGAGTTCTGGGGTTCAGTTTCTCTGCTCAGGAGGACAAGTGGGAACATCAGTGCTGTCCATGGGGACAGTACCTCTGAATTTGCACTGTTTCCTTGTAGTGCTTGCACAGTAACAAAGACCTCCTTGTTTTTCCAGGGAAGGGAATGAACCGGGGGATTCTATGAAGATCACATACAGCGAGTTGCTGCGCAAAGTCTGTCAGTTTGCCAATGTCCTCCGTAACCATGGTAGGTGGCTGGAGAAAGGGGAGAGTTACATACTGGGAAAATGTTAGACCAGTTTTTGGAGATGGGATCATTTTTTTGCATGGTTGCTATTCTATTAAATGCAACATGCTTCATTTCTCTGGCTGCTTCCACAGCTGTGGAGGAGGTATGTGCAGGTTTACTCTGCAGTGTGTTCTTACACAGCTGTTTCTAGCTCATCAATGTTGCTTGTTCCTTCCAGCTGTACAAGAAAGGAACTTGTGCTCAAAACTTTCTCCTCTGAGCTTTTCCAACTAGCAGTGAGGTTCTGCCTCTTTCAAGAGACTGAACATGTCTGATCTCAGAACGTGCAACATTCATTGCTGCATGTTCTGACCATTGCAGCAAGCTTACAAGAGCAGTAATGCTTGAAAGGTAGAACACATGTGCTCAGTGCCCCTGGGCAGTCTGGAGCTCTTTTCCTGATTGTTACTGATGTGATGCTCCTTGCATTTCTGCCGTGGTGCATGGGCACTGCTGGGGAATGGCAGTGGAAGTTCATGCCTGTGGGCACTGCTTTGGCCTGGACAGCTGAAATGTTCTTCCCAAGCTGGCTATGCTCTAGCTCCAGCTGAAACTTTATTGTGTATGTATAAACATTGGCTTAAAATCATTAGCTTTTTTCTGTAGCCTGTTCCTTTGGCACAGTGTGATCATTCTGATAAATGACATGTTTGTTTTCCTTTCACAGGTGTGAAGAAAGGTGACCGAATCTCCATCTACCTGCCGATGATCCTGGAGCTGGTCATAGCCATGCTCGCCTGTGCCAGGATTGGAGCCATCCACTCTGTTGTGGTAAGAGCAAGCCTTGTGCATCGCTGTTTGGGAGCAGCTGTTGGTCTGGGGAGAGTGAAGGAGGGGGACTGGAAGAGCTGAAAGGATGGGTGCTGACCATAACATGGATGGAAACTAAATGCGGTGCGTTCTGTGCGCCATGGAATGAGCTCCTCTAGGTCTTTCCATCAGTGTTACCATTTACCATCACTGTTACCATTTACCATGGGATAACAGTGCGGCTGTGGCCATTCCTTTTGTGTTGCTTGCTAACTTGGTTGTGTGATCTGCCAGTTTGCAGGTTTCTCAGCAGACTCTCTTTGTGAGCGGATCCTCGACTGCGGTTGCTCCCTCCTCATTACGGCAGGTAAAACATGCTTCAGTGCCCCTGACTCTGAGCTGTTTCTCTTGGCTGTCTGAAAGGTCTGTATTTTAAAAGCCAGATGTGCTTGGAATTGGAAGAGGAAGGGGCAGTGCTTCAGCTGAGCTGCTGCAAGGCGGATATGCTGCTTGTAGCTGTGCTTGAGGACTGCTTTCCTCTTTGAATGTACTGCGAAGCATCTAAGCAGCCCGCCCACTTTGTCCTGTAAAGCATGATGTCACCAGCTGCTAATAGCATGTTTCCCAACGCTTCTCATCCATGTTCCTCTTCAGAATGTGCCAGATGTTTGCAAGATGTATCATTCGTGGGCCTGCCCAAATTTGAGGGATTCCCTCTCTTCCCTATTTTCAGAAAATTCCTATCACAACTCTCAGCTTTGCAAAGCAAGGGATCAAGAAAGTGTTTGCATGTAAAGCCAATGCATTTTCCAAAGCTGTATTTTCTGAGGTAGTGCTGTTACTGTTAATAGGTTCATGGCATGGAAGGAACCCATTAAATACTGTGATGTATGTTCTGGCCAAGTTGCATTATTCCCCACAGAATATTCCTAAGAGACTTTTCAGGTCAAATTTGAACCTCTCCCAGGGAAGGAATTTCACCATTTCCCTTGGCATCTGTTTCTCTAGGCTAAAAGGGCGTATTAGGAAACCTTTCCCATCAGCTGCTTGACTGCTTTCCCTCCTTCTGGTGCATGAATTCTGTTCTGACCTGAAGCTGCCTGTTGTTTCTAGCTGTCCCAGGCTGCCTTGGCTGCGGAGCCTCTCTCACACTGTTCTTACTGTTTTGCAGATGCCTTTTATCGAGGGGATAAGCTGGTCAACCTGAAGCAGATTGCAGATGAAGCTCTCCAGAAGAGCAAAGACAAGTAAATTCAGATTCTTTTGTGAAAGGGCACTTGTTGGAATCTACTCCTGCACAAATTTTCATGGTGAAAAAGGCCATGACCAATGGTGGATCTCTCAGTGCAAGTTGTGAGCAGTCTGACACCATACTGTGGTGCATATTAAGATGGAGCTTAAATCTTGCCCAAAAGCTGCTTGCTCAACCATAATGAAATAAAACAGATATTTCAGCTGTGGGAGATGGCTGTGTTGCAGGAACCAGCGCTTTAATTGGCAAGTGCCAGTCTGTGCACAGGATTAATGCCTGACTCCTTTTCTTGAATATGTCTTCACTGCAGTACTGGTGAATCATAAAGAGGGGCAGATGTTACCGTCCCATAAAGAAAGGGAAATGACCATGATGAAATGACTTTACCAGGCTTACAGACACAGTCACTGTCATGCAGGAGACCACACCCAGATCCTTACACTGCCATGCCAAAATCTCCTCTTCCAATTGTTTTGGCTTCTGCACTGACGAGACGGATGCACATCATAATAATGGATAGCTTCACTTGGGGAAAAAACACACAGACACTGGTCATGACTTTTTTGCAACCTTTTGTTTAGTAGGCAAAGTATTCCTTGCTTAGTAAGAATAAAGGCGACATATTTGTAGAGAAGAGTTGCTAACACTCACTGTGATTTTGCATTCAACTTGTTAGATCAAACATGCAATTCTAGGGCAGACAGCCTGAATGTTAAAAATTCAAACTCTTTAGAAGTGTTTTCAAGTCTTTTGTTTGTAGAAGCAGTTATGTGGTAGGACAACTAGAATTTAAAGCTGATGAAGCTAACTGATGGACATGATGTGTTGGTACCTGATGTGTAATTTGGCTTTGGAAGTCTTTCCCTTCTCTGGAGTGTACAGCTGATCACTCCTAGGAATGGAAGCAGCTGCCTGGCATCTTGTGGGTGCTGTGGGAGGTCCTGCTCAGATCCACAGACAGGCAAATTAGGGATTTGTCAGGCAGTGAATTGTGAGAGATGCTTGTGGAATCCTTCCTTCTTTAAGAACGGTACACGTATGGTTTACCTAATAATACCCCATTAAATTCTGCACAGACCTTTCCTTTTCTCCAAGCTCTGCTCCTGTGCTGTGGCCTTGCTCACGTCCCACAGCAATTCATGATATGCCTGAGGTTTGCATGGCTGCATCTGCAGTGCAGATGGAGGGGAGGTGATGAGGGGTGAGACGTGCAGCAGGGCCTCCCTGTGCAGCTGTGTCCAGGCTGCCTTCCTGTTCCCTTGCTCCCAACAGTGCCAGGCAGCAGAACAGCTCTTCCCAGTGAGCTACTTGTGAGGGTGTGCAGGCAGCATACACTCTGGGTAAAGAAAAGCAGCTCAGGGCCTCTGCTCTGCCTTCAGCACAGCCCATAGAACACAAAGGGCAGGCATAGCCTGAGCAGCCTCATCTGACAGCTCCTTCCCCCTTACAGGGGCTTCCCTTTGAAGAAGTGCATTGTGGTGAAGCACCTGGGACGAGAGGAGATAGCAGCAGACGGGGCATGCAGCCAATCTCCTCCTCTCAAAAGGCTGTGCCAGGACGTGCAGGTATGCTCTTAGGAGGTTAGGAACTGGGAGGGATTTTTTTATTATTTTCATTTCCCCTCAACAAATTCAGTGTGAAATCACTGCCGTGCTTCTCTCAGTGCTTCTGTTTTCTGACTCCTGTTCCTGCTTTCTCCCCTGCTTGCTGTTGTTGCTTTGTGAGTGGTACAAAGAAGGGCTCCTTTGTCTTTCCCAGATCCCCTCCCGCTGCTTTCTTTAACACCATTGCTAGCTGCCAGCCCACAGGGCTCCTGATTGCACAGCAGGCTACAGCTTCCACAGGCTGGAAGTCTTAGGACAAGAACAAGGTACTTGCTTCTCTCTGGCCACCAAAGGGTTCTTCCTTTTCAATCTTGTATCTGTCTCCCATTTTGTGTGAGGAGGAATTTCTTCCTGTGCTGTAGCTATAGCAGTGGAAACAGAAGAAAGAAACAGAAGATTTGTTCTTATGACTGGCTTCAGGCCCCAAGATAACAATTACAGAAATGCTGGGAGCAGTGCAGTTGCTGCGTAGCTGGCACTGCGTCAGCTGCTGGAGCTGGGGCTGTCTCTTGCAAAAGAAACCAGATGGAAAGATGTGGGCCAGAGACATGGGGTGAGATGGGGTGGAGGGAACAGAAGGTGTCAGGGAGCCGTGGCTTCCTACTGAGCTCTTGAGGCTGTGACAGTCCTGCTGCACAGTGCAGCCAGGCACAGCCTTTGTCTGCCGTGATGGGATGCTTCGGTCACCACCCAGCGCTAACAGCACGCTGCGTCTTGCAATGTTATATTCTGTCCCTAAGCATCTGCCAATTAATTCACAGCAGTGCGTGGAATCATCTCCAGGTGCTGGGTACTGCCTGGGCAGGTAGCTTGCCCAGAAATGGGCTGTGTTTTGGGGTTGTGTTTGACAGAGCTTTGGACTCTGCTTTCAGAAGGGTGCTTGGTGCAAGTCCCTAGCAGCAGCCTATGTCTTTGGGTTACCTTTGCTTGTTCAGCTGTGTTGATGATAAGGGGTGTTGTGCAGCGTTTGCCACATTGAGCTCCTTTGCCTGTCTCTTACCTGCAGTGGGGAGCTGCAGGGAGTGTGCAAAGTGGAGTTGGGCAGCATTTCTGTGCTGCGTTTCCTGGATGAGATGCCGTGGAGAAGCCTATCCCTATGCTGATTGCTGGGGATGTGAGGCTCTTGAGCAGCCATTCAGGCAGAGATGGAGTGGGGCTGCCTCTTACCCTTTGGTTCTTGTTTGGACGCTTTATTAAGGATCGCTTTCCCCTTTGAGTTCATTGCTGCTCTCTTGGCTTTTGTAACACTGCTGGGTGGTTGGTGAGCTTGTCCTGGTCTGTGCTGTCTTACCCAGCTGGCCGTGTGCAGGAGGGGTTCTGAGACCTGCCCAGAGGTGTTGGGCCCCTAGAGAAGGCAAACTGGGCCACTGTTGTGCTCAGAGAGCACCTCCTGGCCTGGGCCCTGGATCAGAACTCCAACCTGCCAGGTCAACATGGAACTCCTTGCCTTCAAAGCCTGGTGTGGATCCTCCTCTTCTCAACTTTCACACCTTCTTTGTGGATTTTTAACAGGAAAAAAAGACTGAAAGCTCACAGAGACTCCATCCCAAGGTATTTACGCACAGTGCTGTCTTTCTCTTCTTGACACTTCCCCTCTGTTCTCCCCTCCAGCCCTTTCTAACCGCACAAACTCTGCACGGCCACACGTGCCCTGCTAACTGTGTGACCAGCAGCTGCATGTTAGCAATAGGTGCCACATCTGCTTGGCTGCAGACACTGTGTGGAGCCATTTGCCCAGCAGCACAAGGGCAGCAAGTGTGGTTGGGATCCTGCAGTGTCTGTGATGACCTCTGGAATTAGAGGGTGAGGAGATGTGAGTGTGCTGTGGCTGCCTGGCTGCCTTCTGCTTCCTCTTCACAGAGGAGCAGTCCAGACCTCTCTGTTCTGGTGGTGGCAGGATGGCTGCTGAGCACAGCCTGGGGTCAGCAACACCATCTTTGCTGCTGGAAACAGATTGGCTTCTGTGAATACACCTGGATGCATGTGAGTGTGCTCGCAAGATGAAACTCAGAACCAGTAGGACTTGGTGGCAGCATCAGGATGACGTTTCACCTCTACAGGCAGTACTCACAGTGTGCTTTTCATCATCACGGGCCAGCAGGAACCACAGGCAGCTCCCCAGGTGCAGAGGTGTGCAGGGCCAGGAAGCCTGCAGCCCCACAGCCCAACCCAGCGCCAGGGCTTTGCTCACTTGACTGAGGAGCTGCAGTTACAGGGCTTGTGTGAACTGAACACAGGCCAGCCAGCACGTATCCTCTGCTAGAGCACCACGAGAGCCAGGGTTTGCATACTGGGCTTTTATTAGTCAGCATCACTGTGTGACTTTTTGAGATTCAGATGTTTTCTGATCCCTTGGCATCAGCTGCCCCATGGCCTTGCTGCCAACCCGAGTGTGATGTTCAGTGATGGGCAGATGTGTGCTAGCTCCCATCCTACATTCCAGAGTTACATCAAGCTCTCAGACCTCCCTGGATCAAGCTGTCCAGCTCTCAGAGACCACAGGCACCTCTGTCTCTGCTGCGTCCTTCAGCTCTAGGTCTCCTTCCTTTCTAACTAGGTAGTGTAACTGTGTAGGGCAGAGGCAGTGTGCCCTGTTGTGTGTACTGGTCTGGCAGTGGGGGCTGTGTGCCATTCATGGGTCTGAGGTGGAACAGAGGAAGTTTGGTGCTAACACGTAGTGATCCTTGGAAGAGAGATGCCAGAAGGCAGCAGGTAGGCTGGTACGAGCTGAGCATGGATGTGTTCAGTGTGGTGCCTCGCTGAGAGCTTGCTGATGTGCCACACTTATGGAAATTCTCTCCAGGTGCTGCGGGGTTCTGTGAGAGCTTTCAAAATGGGCTCAACTGTGCAGTGCTGTCAGTGAAGGGGCAGTGGAGCTGGCGTTTCTGCACCGTGTACCAGAGCTGTGAGCAGCAGAATCCCAGCGCCTCCAAACGGCCCATGCACATCTCAGGGCTGCAGTACATCACTGCCACCCCGTGGCTGCTCTGTGCACGGGTGTGCTCCAGCTGAGAGAATTCTGGGGTACATCTGCTGCCCTTGGGCTGCTCTGTATAGCCCTCAGCTGTGAGCTGTTGGGATCCGCTGTGTGGAGGAGGTTCCCTGCCTTGGTGAGTGCTAGGAGCAGCTGCTATGTCTGCTCAGCCACGGAGTTCCACCAGGACCAGAAGATCCTATGCTGATGTTTCCATCCTGCTTTGCTGAGGTGTTTACATCTCTACATCTCTTCTTGGACCAAAGGCACCTTCCAGTTCTGTTTGCTAACAAGAAATTCTTGTACAAGTGACTGCTGGAGCCTGGGTGACAGCTTGGGGACAATGCACAGACTGTGCTGCACAGTGGGCCCTTGTTTTTCCAGCTGCTCTGCCCCCGGTGAGCCCTCCACGTGCTGCAAGGCTGGGGATCAGTGTGCCTGGCTTTGTGGAGATGTGGGCAGTGGAGGTGTGCTGTCAGTCTGAAGAGCTCAGCTGTCCCCAGGCTCCTTCATGGAGAGGAGAAAAGATTGTGTGGAACTGGGTCTTGCACTGAGCTGTGCATTCTGGAGATGATGGCAGCCAGCGCAGCTCTGAGGGTGACCTCAGCCCCCATGGGTGCTGGTAGCCCTGTCATAGCCTTGGCACTCTTGATGGGCAGTCAGTGCTGGCTGGTTCAGCATTGGAGCAGCCACTTCTTATCACGATAGTTGTCTTAAAATCGAATATAACAGATTTTTGGTTCTGCAGGGACAAGAAGCCCCTGATGTGTTCCTCTTGGTCTTGTGACCCCCATGATAACAAGACCCTGCAGTGTGGCTGTGATGGAGGACATGTGGCTGTGCCAAGGCTTCTGACTTGGTTGTTTGCAGCTCAGTGGCAGCTCACAGAGCCAGGAGGGGTCCTGTTTTCTATGAAAGTGCAGAGCAGCCATAGCTGCTTCTGAGAGGGGTTTGTTGGTGTTGCCAGTGGTCTGGAAAATCTGCTTCAGGTCTTGCAGGAACATCTTGACTGAGAGTTGCAGCTCTGATGCATGATTTCCAGTTCTGGGTAGAAGCTGTGCCATGAGTAACTGGCTGGATAGGCCAAGAGGGGTGACAAGGTTGGGGCTGCAGCCACTTGTCCCCTCTCTGTGCCTTTGTGGAGGGCCTGTTCCTAATGTTGGGCTTTTCTCAGATCCCCTGGGATCCACGCATGGATGTGTGGTGGCAAGATCTAATGAGCGGTGCCAGCACGGAGTGTGAGCCTGAGTGGTGCGACTCAGAGGATGAACTCTTCATCCTCTACACAAGTGGCTCAACTGGAAAACCCAAGGTATGTTTCCTACACAGCCTGCTGCCCTGTGGGGATGGGCTGAGCCAGAGCAACCCCCCAGTGACGGGATGAGGGAGATCCTGCTGCCTTGCAGGAGGGGCTGTGTTTGTGTTGTGCTCAGCTGCTGTTTATTCTCAATGAAACAGTGATTCTCAGCTTGGCCAGGGAGATGGGGGCCTTGGTGGGAACATGACCTGATGGTTCTGTGCCTTATCTTTTCAGGGTGTGCTGCATACAGTGGGTGGATACATGCTTTATGCTGCCACTTCATTTAAGTATGTCTTTGACTACCAGCCTGAAGACATCTATTGGTGCACAGCTGACATTGGATGGATAACAGGCCATTCCTACATCACTTACGGACCCTTGGCAAATGGGGCAACTAGTGTATTAGTAAGTGCTGGATGGCCACTGGCTGCCTGTCCTCTAAGAAGTTAGGCATGGTGGTGCTTTGCTCTGTGAGGAGCACATCAGGATTTGCTTTTCTCCCTTGTATGAGACCTCATTGTACTGTCCATGCCGTACTGTAGCACGCTGTGGTTTGTGAGGAAGGATGGTATTCCCCAAAGAGATGTGGGTTACTCCGTAGTGGCAGAGGGATGGCCAGGCTGTGTGTATAACTTCCAGGTAATTTGTTTTTCAAATGCTCACATTTTTTTCTCTTAGAAGTGCCAGCCTTGTGTAAACAGGCATCAAGACAACTGTAAGCTAATGTGAAAGCTGGACTGGAAGGCAGGGAGTAAAGTTGTTGCTGCTGGCACTAATTTGACAACCTGCATTTAATTCCTGTACCTGTATCTCGCTTGACAGTGTATGGCTCTAACCTGTATACACATCAGGAACCAGAGCCTTGGGTCCAAAATTCTCATGTGGTAGAACAAGCAGGAAAATATGTCATCCAGGGAGAATCCTCTTTATGGTTCTTAGTGCTGTCGGCTGTGGGTCTCCACAGCGTGGTGTGGCATTACCCTATGCTACCTGGGCAGTGTCACTTGGGCTGGTGGGACTGCGTCACTCTGATAGCCACTCAAGTGTCCTCCCTGCTAGGATGTTTTAGGGGACATTTGCTAGGACACCTGGGGTGAGAGGGTGCAAAATCCATCTTGAGGAAGAAGTAAGAAGGGTCCTGAACTGGTTTCATTGCGTGATGCCCCTGGCACGCCTCTAAGATCACACAGGGGTACAGCTGCTCTTGGCTCCTCTTGCTTGAGGAAGGGCTGCAGGTCGTTCTGGGGAGGTGGCACTGAGGAACAGCTGTGTCACTGCCCTGTCTCCCACTCAGTTTGAAGGTATCCCCACCTATCCGGATGCTGGGCGAATGTGGAGTATCATTGACAAGTACAAGGTGACCAAGTTCTACACGGCACCCACAGCCATCCGGCTGCTGATGAAGTATGGGGAGGAGCTCGTAAAAAAGTGAGTCAGTCCCCAGGAGCACGGGGGTCCCTGGCACCAGCACAGCTTCCTCTCTGAGCAGCAGTATCCCACCGTGTTGTCTGAACAAAACAGGATTTTTGGCCTTCAACCCAGTGATTTGCACCCCTTCACTGCCTTCGATGTGGCACCCCAGAGCAGGTTGTTCTTTTTCACTGTGAGCTGCAGCTAAGCTTTGAGACTGCAGGTTCTCCCCTGCTCCCCCACCCAGGGCTCACAGAGGGGTGTCGGGCAGAGGGGCCCCCCTGTGTGCAGCTTGGCCCAAAGAAGGGAAGGAGCAGAGTGGGAGCTTGGAGCAGGAGGCAACAGAACCACAGGGGCTTCCCTTCTTCCCCTGTGAGAGAGAGCTGAGAAGGGACTGAATCGTTGAAACTCCAAATATATTTGAGAGGCCTGGGGATTCCTGCAGGCTCTGCAGTGCCACAGGCTCACAGCTGCTTTTCTCTGCGGCCTGCTGAGCCCCTGTGAGCCCCCTCCTCTCTGCAGGCACAGCCGGAAGTCTCTGAAGGTGCTGGGGAGCGTTGGGGAGCCCATCAACCCTGAAGCCTGGCTGTGGTACTACCGTGTGGTGGGAGAGGAGAGGTGTGCCATTGTGGACACGTTCTGGCAGACAGAGACGGTGAGTCCTCAGCTGGGTGTCTCTGGACTTCTTTTTTCTTTGTGCTCCCAGCAGGCAGCGTGGTGTCTTTGCAAGTTTCCCATCATGTTTCTTTGGTGCTATTGGAACCAGTTGTTCTCCTTGTCTAGGAGCTTTTCCCAGCATCTCATGTAGCCTGCAAGTGTTGGCTCCCCTTCTCTCCCAGGGCCTCAAACAGGTGCCATGGGAAGACCTTCTTAGAAGTGTTCCTGAGAAGGTCTGCTCCGAACCCTGTTCTCCCTCTCTTTATCATCTCCTGCAGTTTCAAAGCTTTGTGCCCAAACATGGACACCCTCTCCTCTGCTGTATCCTTCCCCACAGGCTGGCATCATTAATCTCATTCCTTTTGCCTCTGTTCTCAGGGTGGCCACATGCTTACACCTCTTCCTGCAGCCACCCCCATGAAACCAGGCTCTGCTGTGAGTATTACTGTTGCTCTGACAGGGAGGGCTCCCCATCCCTCTGTGCAAAGTTTGAATGCCTCAGCTCATCTTCATGTCTCCTTGCTGTCTGGTGCCCATGGCAGACGTTCCCCTTCTTTGGTGTGGTCCCTGCCATCATGAACGAGTCGGGGGAAGAGCTGGAAGGAGAAGCAGAAGGCTACTTGGTAAAGAGGGGCTGATCTTCCTCACCCTACCCTTGTCTGTTCCCCACGAGCTCCAGGACGTTCTGGGTAGCGTATGCACATCTCTGCTTACACTGGATCCCTTGGGTGGCAGGAGCTCTCTTTACTGCTGTAACTCACTGTGAATTTTGTGCCATGAACAAGCTGTTAAATGATCCATAAAGGCACTTGCATGCATGAGCATGGCAGGAGGGAGTGGAGGGGCTTTCTCAGTAGCATGAGGCAGTAGCTGTCTGAGTGCCATTTCTTACGGCCACCTCTGCTGCATCTCCGTCATTTGCACAGCACTGCAAAGACTGAGCTACTTTCCTTCCACTAGTAGAATAAACAGTTTATAGGATCCTGAACTGGGGGAGGCAGAAAGCAGGTATTTGATAGATACCTTGACCCTTGGATGAGTTCTTCAGAGTAAAGTTGTTCTTTCCATGTCCCAGGAGCTACAAAAGGGTTATGCTGAGCTGGCAAGACCTGGAACAGTGTAGGAAGTGCTCTAGCTGCCCAGCAGTACTGTGGGTCCATGGAGGTGATTTAGAAATGCTGACGAACAGCAGAGGCCACTCTGTTAACAGTTGCCCACTGACTCAGGTCTGCATTTTTCACTGTAGGTATTTAAGCAGCCCTGGCCAGGAATAATGCGCACACTGTATGGAAACCACCAGCAGTTTGAAACCACGTACTTCAAGAAGTTCCCTGGGTGCTACGTGACAGGTGATGGTAAGGCTGTCTGGGCAGTGTGTGGGTGCAGAGGCCTGGGGACAGCAATTAAAATCTTGCACAGTCCTGGCCTCAGGATCCCTTATCAGTTGCTCCAAGAGCTGGCACTGCTTCTTCATGCTGTCATTTCTGGCTATTTTTAGGTTGCAGGAGAGATAAAGATGGTTATTACTGGATCACAGGGCGAATTGATGACATGCTGAATGTTTCTGGTAAGAACAGCTTTTTTTTTTGTCTTCAGTGGGAGCCAGTGTGCTTCCTGATGCTGATTAAAAGAGCCTCTTTGCTTTTATGGAGAGCATTTCTCCGTATGTGAGACTGCCCAGCAGCCTGTCCTCTAGATGGATCTAATTGCTGGATCAGGTTTATATCCAAATCAGACCTGCCTGTGACTTTGTGATTCTGAATTAATTCCTCCAGTAGCAGTACACTGGAGGGAAGGAGCCTTCTGCAGTATCTTAAAGCAGATCCTCAGCCAACATACATGCTTTGTATTGAAGCATGCGGTGCCAAAGGGAAGCACAGATATCCAGGCTGGGCAAGACCTTGCAGTCTTTAATCCAACATGTAGCTCCAGGTAGGGTTAACATAAAAGCTGGATCAAGCTGCTCAGTGCTTTGCCCCCAGAGATGGAGGTTCTCTGTCCTCTCCTGGAGTTGTAGCCTGCAGGTACTCATTGCTGGCTCTGAGATGCTGCTGTACTTTTTTACCTGCATCAAACTAGATCCGTTCATCAGACAAGCTACATCCTCACCAACTGATTGTTTTGGGAGTTGGTCACCTTCCTGTGGTTTTTCTGTGACAGCAGTCCCAGAATAACAGAGTGTGGGTGCAGGAAGTATAGAAAAGTGAGTTGTGCCCCAGCCTTGTGTTGGGAAGCTCCGTTTCATATCTCTACAACAATGACCTGGAGCAGCGCCGGTCCAGCCTGTTCCTCCTCAGCTGACCTTGTGGCCAGCTCTCCTCTTACCAAATCCAACTGCTCAGCCTGTGATTTGTGTAATCCTGTGTCTGTGAACAATTCACAGACCTGTCGAAGAAAGAAACCTAAAGGTGGGAAGGAAAACAGCCAGGGGAGGTAGCTTCACCCTGCAGCCTGAGCTCATGTGAGTGATGCCTGGCAGCCCTGCGGGGGAACCCACACCACTGAACTGCTAAAATGGGCTTGAGAAAACAGCTGGAGAGAGAAGCGAGTGAAAGCAGTCCTCTCAAACATACAGCTCAGGGCTTTTTACACTTCCTGACCTCTTCCTCCTGGCTGCTGGGGGGCTGCAGGCCTCCACGCAGCTCTGCAATGCGTTGTCTCTCTGTTTCCAGGCCACTTGCTGAGCACTGCAGAAGTGGAGTCAGCTCTGCTTGGGCATGCAGCCGTCTCTGAGGCCGCTGTGGTCAGCCACCCACATCCCCTGAAAGGCGAGTGCCTCTACTGCTTCGTGACCCTGAAAGATGGCCATGAATTCACCAAGGACCTGGCAGATGAGCTGAAAAAACAAGGTAGTAACAGCCAAACAGGTTGGAGGCTGCTGCAGGGGGTGGAGGGGTTAAGTTCTTGGGTGCTTAAATGAGGGTGCATGTAGTCTGGGGAACGCAGCATGGACAACTGCATCAAGGTGCCCCCTCTGATTAGAGAACATGGATGGCAAAGACTAAAATTAGTTCTCCTGGCCTTTGGCTGCTCATGTGATGCCGTCTCTACCTCTTGGGAGCTGGCAATTGCAGGGACAACTTGGGTAGCTTTTGTTTGCAGTGGTGGGCATGGTTCCTGTGGCTCTCCCTGGTTGATTTGAGAACTGTTTGGTTACTTTGGGAGGCAGAAGGGAACGTTTGCAAACCTGTCTCCTGCAGCCAGCAGGCGCTGGCAGAGCAGGGACTGACCTGCCATGGGACTTTCTTCTCTGCAGGAACACATTAGGGAATCGATTCTTGCTCCATCAAAATGGAACAGTGATTGGTACAGAGATTATTGAGGTCTCTTGGAAATGGAGAAAATGAGAACTGGAGTGCAGCTGCCTTTGGGAACATGTGCTGAACCACACACTGTGTGAGCACCAGGCTGCCCTGGGAGCTGGGCTCTGCATGCCTGAACTCAGTAATCCTGCCAGAAAAATATGTGCAAGATCTTCTTGTATCTCTAATGAAGATTTTTTTTTTATTTATTTTGCAGTCAGGGGAAAAATCGGACCGATAGCAACGCCTGATTACATCCAGCATGCTCCCAGCCTGCCCAAAACCCGTTCAGGTAAGGCTCCCAGCTGGGGAGGACCAACCAGTTCCTGCCAGTGGAAAGGAATTATCCCTGAATTGTTTATCTGGGAGCAGCCAAATCCACAGGAAGCATCCCTAGGGCATATGGGATGCTGTCGGTCTGGGCACTGACTTTTGCTAGGGATGCTGAAGAGATCCTAAGTCCTGCTTTCCTTGCATGGTTGTCCTTACAGGAAAGATCACCAGGCGGATACTAAGGAAGATTGCCCAAAATGACAGAGATCTGGGGGACATCTCCACCTTGGTAAACCCAGGCATTATAAACCAGCTTTTCAACAACAGATGCGACACCAAACTGTAGCAGCGTGACTTCTGCCTGCTGAACAGAACTGTAGCAGCAGTGTCCTAATGAGCAGGTCCCTCAAGTAACCACTGTCTGCCTTGGGCAAGAAACCTTCACCTGTTGAAATCGAATGTACAGATGTTAAGAGATGAAGGAAGGCTGACCCTGGAGAGGCTGCGTCTTGCCAGCATGTTCATGCCTTGGAGGAGTGTTCATGTCACATCGGAGATGGGTATCATACACCTGAGGTTTGGCCTCATTTATGCTGGGACTTGTGACCTGTGCTCCTCTGTTTTCATCACCTCGATCTTGATTTTTATTGTTTTCTCTTGGGGGGGAAGGGGATGTTGATTAACTTTATGTAGTTGAGGGAGCCTGGTGTCCTTAGTTGGTTCCCTCAGTGGGAAGGAGCTGGGGGCAGATTGTAGGGGAAGTGGTACTGGAGTTACTCAGTGCAGGCAGGCATGGGATGCTCATCTACCACTGTCTACATGCTGAGTAACCTTCCTTTTCTACTCAGAGCTATGGGAAAACTTAAAAGCACTCTCACATCACAAGCACAACTGAATTTTAGACTTGCATCCACTGTTTTTTAGCTTAGGTCCCATACCTGAAAGAGAATGAGGTAAGGCTTGGGAGCTCTGTGCTTTAGCTGGATTTTTTAGAGCTCTTTGGTACAGAGCACTGCAGAGGCATCTTTCCCACTGCAAACCAATCAAACGTGTGTTACTTCTGCTTAAATCTGGCATGACCTTATGATGATGAGAGAAAACAGTAACTCCAGCCCAAGTCTGAACACCATGAGGGTGCTACCAAAGCCAACATTTCCTCATCAAGTTAATTACATTGAACATCAGCCCTGGATTGAGCTGGGAAGGATACCTCTTTGTAATGTCTGTACTGAAATCACACCTGAGCTGTTTGATTTCTACACTTAAACCAAAGGAAAAACGAGCTTTAAATCTTGCTGCAACAGGCTTTACCCTTAAACTGAGCTGGTGTTTGGCTGGCTGGGAAGAAGGAGGTAACTCTTCCAAGGCCCAGGGCAGGTGTTGCAGGTGCTCTGCAGAGCTGCTGCCCAAGTCTCATTTCTTGCCTGCTGCTCTCACTGGCATGGTATCTGTGACCTACAACCTCAGTCATGCCTGTGTCCCATATACCACCCACTGCTCCCTTCCACAGGATTGTGCCACTTCTTTAACGTGAGTTCCTACATCTGTTCTCCTCCTCTGTTACTACTTGTTGTGTAATTTTGGCTGGAGACAGCTAGAACTCTATGCAAAATGGAATAAAAATTTAAGAAAACAAAACAGAACAGGTTCAGAGCATTTGTAGGGGTAGATGCATTGTAAATGTTTGTCTGGTGTGGAGTCCAGGGGGAGACCTCTGTGCCGTAACCAGGAGCTGTTCTGGAAGCCACAAGTGGCGTGGGACAGACACTCATCCCTGTGTTGTGGTTGAGCACTGATGGTGCTTATGTGGCTGCAGTGGTGTCAGCTGATGCTTTTCTCTTTTCCCAAGGCTGTGGCTCAGTCTGTGCTGCCCCTACACTGGGCAGAGGGCAGAAGCTCCAGCACCAGAGCCTATGCTTTATTATTCTCCTGGTCCGCAGCCAACATCATTCCACCAAGGTGGATGGAAAGCACCAGATGTGTGACACCCACGTGTCATCAACGTGCAGGATGGATGCAGGAGCAGCACCAGGGAGAAAGCAGCACATGCTGCCTCCAGAAGCTCAGAGCTCTGCTCCAGTGCTCACATCCTGTTCCTCGTGGTTGCAGCTAACCTTGCGTTCTCCCTGCCCAATGCTCCAACCAAAAGCACACCCAAGGACTAAGACCAGACTGCTTCCTCCTGGAGGGCGTTGTGCCTCACACCTGCAGCTCAGCATTGGCTGCTCATGCTGGGCTGCAGCGCAGGACACATCTCCAATGCTGCTGAACAGACTTAACTGAACAGAGCAGAAGCTGCCAGGTTGACCAAGAAAAGTCCATGCATAGGTGTGCAGCTGCCCAAAAGCCATACCTGGACCAGGAGTCAAGCTTGGAGGAGAGGAGGATACTGAGGGGCTACAGTGAGCTCTCAGCTGCCACCACAGCTTGTCAGATAAATTTGGCTTTGCAGGGACCAAGTTGAGCAGAACCAGCTCCCCTGGTGTCGGAGCAGCAAGCAAATGTGTAAAGGAGAATGTGACCCCAGCTCTGTTTATAAGATGGAGTTTGAGCAGAGCCCAGAGCAGCCAGCATCCCTGACAGCTTCACCTGAAGTGGGGGACAGAGCTCAGCCAAGGGCATACCCCCAGAGCTTGCACTCAGGCTGGCTCGTGCAAACCATCCATCATGCTACCCCCACTCCAGGTACAATTTAAGATATGTCTCCCTCTTTGCACAGCTATTCTCAGACAAAACTGACCCCAGAGCCTTGTTTAGATGCAGCGTATGTTTTAATCTCTGGTGGGGTAATCAAGCCCCCCAGCTGAACACCAGCCACAGATTGTGGAATCAGCCACAGAACAAAACCACTGCGCAGTGGCAGATCAGTGCTTGATTGAGGCACCTGGACTGCAGGCTGTAGGCACAGCCAGCAGGGCTATCAGGAACACAGGCATAAGGCCTCGCTGCAGTCATGGAGCAGCGGAGCTCAGGCTGCCTAGGTGCTTCACCAGGGCAATTCCAGGAAGGGGCACTTTGTGTCACACCTGGAGTTACTCAGCTGAGCAGGGCTGGAGTGGAAGGGGGGTGCACTGCAGACATGGCCCGTGAGCAGGAGCACCCACGGCTCTTCCCATTGATTCAGGAAACCCGGGGGAGACGCATCTTGTCATCCCTCAGTGCTGGTCCCACAGTGAAGCCAAGAGAATGCACTGACAGTGATGGAGGCTTGGGGAAGCTGCAGCATGGCAGCTGTCCACGTGCATAGGAGTGTAATGAAACTGGGACTGGCACTGAGCAGTGTCCCCTCCAGTGCTGCAGCAGCCTCCAAGAGCACATTTCAAACCAGTGCAAAACCTTTGGCTGTCTCCAGCCCTTCTCACCTCACTAGGTGCACCTGAGGGAAGCAGCCCTGTGGCAGCCCAGCCCTGTGGGCACTGCACGAGGAGCTCACACCAGGTAGGGGGTGTCCAGCACCGCCACCCCGGCTGCCACCCCGCCGTCTGCGTGCTCCACTGCCTTCGTCCGCAACAGGTGCCCAGCGGCCTCATTCAGCACCAGCTCTGTGCCCTGCCTGCAAAGAGAAGGCAGAGGGGAAGCATGGTGGAGCAGGAAGCCCACAGCATTTCTCCCATCTGCAACAATCTAAGCTCCTCCTGGCGATGCTGCCCTTCTTTGGCTGGGCTATGGTGGCTGGAAGGCTCTGCAAGGGAGCAATGCTGGGCTGTGAATGCTGCCAGAGTGCAGTTGTTGCTAAAAGTTGTAGGAGGGCTTCAATCTATAAGCTATGGAAGTGTTTCTGTGGATCCTCTTACAAAGGGCTTTAAACAAAAGCAGCAGCTACTTAGGGTTGAGCACGACCTCTTCCACCTTCATCTCTTTCTGAGTGAGGCAGTGTGTAGATGCTGGGAGGTTCCTCCAGCAACTGGGAATGGGACACCCCAGCTTTGGGGTTTGGAAAGCTGCTGCTGGTCACATATCCCACCCAACACCAGCTGTCCCTATCCCTCTATCCTGGAACATCTGCCCTGCTGCTGAGATGTTCCTCTGAGAGAGGAGCAGGGATAGGAACCACTCCATACTGCGTGATACTCACCTGACATAGACACCAAAAATACCAAGCTCTGAGATGCACTTGGAGGCCTTTAGGGGAGTGCGTGCCCTCAACAAATAATTCACTGCTGGCTGCGGCTCAATCTTGTCCATCAGGATGTAGGAGGTTCTCTCAGGGCTGTCTTTGATCTTCTCCAGGACCTGTTTGAGCTCCTCACCATACAGGTTGTTCCCTGAGGGTGGAACCTGGAGCTCAGCAGGAGCAGCGCTCCCTCACCGCTGTGATTCATCCCTGTGGGCACAAAGCCACTCCACCCTGCCTCTCACCCCTCTGATGAGGACCAGAAGCCATCACAGGACACATGACACTGGACAGCGTGAACCACACCAAAACCCAGGGGAACCCACTCCAGCTCGTACCTCCTCCTTCTCGCTGTGGTTTCAGCACAAACCGCTCAGGGCTGGCGATAGCTGTGGCAGCAATCCGGTCACCCTCTTCACCCTGGAAGAAAGACAGTAGCAGCAAAGGATCAGCTAGGAGCAGGAGCTCCTCCAGAGTCCTCTCTGAGCATGACTACCAGAGGCCCGAGGCCAGCAAAGCATACTGATGTTTCTGAACCAAGGAATTACATCATGCAGGCCAAGCACGTGTCTCTTCTTCACCCTCATTCCAATCCCACTCACCACATCCAGCGAGTACAGCCCAGCAAATGTTGCTCTGATGCGTTTGACAGCCTCAGTGTGGCCAGGCAGCAGCTTTTCCAGCATCCCCGGGCGGCTCAGCTCTTGCTGCACCTTCTTGGTGCCAGCCAGCTGTGTGGCAATGTCAGGGCACTTCACTGCCCGCGACCTCTCCAGCAGCAGCCGTGCCTCCCAGTTCTGAGACAGGGGGAGAGCAATCAGCCCATCAGCACAGCCAGGCTTCCTCCTCTTGTTTCTGCTTAGCCCTCCCTGTGAGATCCCTGCCTGCCGGGATGGGGACAGCACTCTGATCCCAGCAGAGCTGCACCCACGGATCTGCCACAGCCCCTGGGAGCTGCACACCAGGCTGCTCTGCCACCTCCCCCTGTGCTCTGCTGCTTTCCAGACAGCAGCCAAGAGCTGTTCTGTATTGTTCTCACCTGCTACTACCAGTCCTAATATGTAACTGAGGGCAGGAAAAGGTTTGTAGTTCAAGCCTTTAAGTATGTGCTAATCTGCATTAACCTGCACTGCTCAGCAGCGATTCAGTGCTGCAGACAGGAACTGCCCACAGGAATGGTGGTTGCAGAAAGAAGCCACCTGCTTTCCATACTACAGGAGCACCACACGAGCAGTGGGGACAGGCAGCATCCCAACACCACCCAGGCAGGACTAACCCCAACCAGGACAGGACTGTGGGATGTTCCAAACCCCTGCCACAGCTTCTAGGAGCAAGCAGTGGGTGCTGACCTGCTGATCGTAGTTGCTCGGCACGTAGCCCTCTCTGTAGTACACCACTGCTACCTCCTGGCCGTCCCTGGAACAGAAAGCAGCAGCCGTCAGAGCCAGCAGCTCCTCCATGCAAAGCCCAGCACGTAGGGCTGACAGGCCCAGACAGGCAGCGTGTGATAGGGTTTGCCCTTTCTGTGATAGGGTTTGCCCTTTCTGCTTCGCCTCCTGAGCTCCTCAAGAAGGGAGGGGATATGGGAAGCCCTGTTCTAAGCACAGCCTCCATAAGTCAGGCACCCAGCCCAGAGGGAGGTGAGGAACTCATTGTTCAGCAGCCTCACATTCTTATGGCTAGGAGGGAACAGGATCCTTATCTGAGGGTGATTCAGGGCAGGGCACAGCTGGCAGCATCATGGTACCATGCACCCCAACCTCAGCTACACAACCCAGCACGGCCACTGCCATGTGACAGCACTCATGGAAAGGGGAAGATGCTCCAGAGGAAGCACTGCAATACTTTTCCCTTAACCGCCTGGCGCTGACAAATGCATTCATTAATTAAACGTGGAGGATGCCCCAAAGGTCAGAGCATGGAAAAAATCTGCCTAACAACAGAAAAAACATTGGCGTGCAACCACAGCTTCCTCTGGGCTCGTGCAGCTCCAAGCATGTTAGCCTGGAGATAGGACAAACATCACACTTGGCATCAGCTCCCTGCGTGGGTGAGACGCAGAGCATGCTCAGTGCCCATCAGAGGCGTGGTGCTTCCTCCTCCAGCACGGGTAACTCAGACCCAGGCAAAGCATCAAGTGAAGGGTCAACAGGAAATGTGTCAGTGCAAACCTCAGAAACAGCCTGGGTGTGCTGCAGATTTGCATGGAGGAAGAAAGGACCCTGTAGAGCAGAGAGGCTGTGGTTTGGGAGAGAGAAATAGGGCTTCTAGCTGCAAAAGACTGACGTGTGCATGCAAAGTCCCACCATCATGAAAACAATCACATAATCCTACAGGAAGCAGCAGCAGCCTGAGGCACAGAAGAGACCTGCACTCCCAGAAAGCCACTATTTACACTCAAAACCATTCCAGCAACTTCAGATGAGAGCTGCGTGCCCTTGCTCCTACTCACACATAGAGCCTCCGGGAGTCATCCAGGGAGCCCTGCTCATACACGTCCTGGAACCGCCTCCTGATGACCCGA